TCAATTTCACCTGAAACTGTTCGACGAGTTCTCAGAGAAGCTACGCCCATGAAAATTTTTTTGTTAGTGAGAAAAACGGAAAACTTAGGCTTTCATTCGCAAAATCAATGATAAATACACCTGAAATGTACTGGAATAATGTCCTCTATGCTGACAAAGCAAATTTAATATTTTTGGTTCCGGTGGTCGAATAACCATATGGAAAAGAAAAAATGAGGAATTCATTCCAAGAACTTAGTTGGAACAGTTGAGCATTGTAGCATCAGGACTAGGTAATTTGGTATTTATTGATGGCAGAATAAATCACTCTATTTAAATATTTTAAGAGACAATTTAAAAGTATCAGCCCAAAATTTGGGTATTGGAAACAACTTTATTTTTAATCATGATAGGGATCCTAAGCATACGGCTCTCAACATTCGCCTGTGGTATCTCTATAATTGTCCACAGATTTTGAAAACACCACCTCAGTCACCAGATTTAAACCCCATTGAACACATTTCGAAAGAACTGAAGATTAGAGTACGAAAACACATCAAAACTAAAAACGAACTCTAAACAGTCATGATGGATGAACATTGGATACAGAAATTACAAAAAAAAAATTAGTAAAATATATTCCCAGATGTTTAAAAGCTGTTGTGGATGCTAAAGGATATCCTACTAAATATTAATTTAACGTAAAATGAAACTATTTACTATTGTGTCAAAATTTTTTTTAAGTGTACGAAGACTTTTTGCGAGATAAAATGTTTATTTTATGATTATTATTTTCTTAAAAATAAAGTTTTGCTATATTTTAAAAATATTTCATGCAATTTTGTTATGAATGGATTATAGATATTATTATTAAAATCTCATTTAGAAAGTTTACTTTTAATAATGGATAGATAAAATCGTAAGTGTATGAACACTTTTGGGAGCCACTGTATATACGTACACATGTATCTCGCATAACTCAAAAAAGACTAGCCGTAGATTTGTGTATCCGATTGTTGTAACATCTAATTGTGCACCTCCCATTTTTCTTGTAATATGAAAAGTTTTTACCATATAAACCCAACCCGTCAAACCCATTGATATGAAATTCTTGTTGATAAGCAAAATTCTACAAGAACTGTGAAGCACATCCTGATGATATTCTTAACTAATTGGTTAACAATCAGGGCTGTGGAGTCGGTTGGGAAAATGACCGATTCCTTCATATATATGTAAATATATATGTATGGGTACAGCTTATTTTTTTAGTATAAAAGAAGTAATAGATGCTACAGAAAAAAAATTGATGCATAGCAAATTTTTTATATTAACATTTATTATGGAATGAAAAAACTCGCATTAGTAATTTCTAAGAAACTGTGAAACTTCGGCAAGATCTTTGTTAGAGGACCATAGATCCGATTTGATAAACTTCAGAACTGAGAAGTCTCCACAGTGACTTGAGTAGGAAAAAGAGCTGTTACTGTTAGAGCTACTTCCTTTAACTTTTCAGGATAGTTTTTTTATAAGTTCTAAAAGACCAATCATATTTATCTATTTCTTCAAAGGCCATATATAAATCTTGTTTGTATGTTTTCATTTTTATGTCTAAAGGCTCTTGGTTATTTATTTTCATTCGCTTTGTCTTAACCTTTTCAATATTATCCGAATATTTCTCAAAATCTAATTCATCAATGGAAGAGAATGATAGATACTCAGTTGGAATATCTGCAGTTTGACTGTCCTGATTTGAATACTCCAGTTGTTCTGAGAATAATTTCATTCTTAATAAAAGTTCATGATTGCTTTCTATGCCTTTTTAATTTGTTTATCATCCAACAAAATTCAGTGTTTTGGATCTACATATATTGAACCCAGCACGATCTTATTGTCTAGCAAACTAGTTTCTCTTTTCTTCATTGAAGAAATGATTCCTTTTGCAATAAACCCTCTATTTCAGAAAGAAACACATCACAGTATTCCAGTCTAGCCTTGTTAATTCTTCAGATTGTAGCTTTTTGGTGGCTATATATGGTATAAAAAGAAGAGTTTCCAATTCTGCAAGATCATTCCACAGTCTTTCTGTTAGTGATATAGTAGGGTTATTTACTTCTTCTGAAAAAGTTTTTAATTCTAACAACCACTGTATCATGAAATATGTACTTCTCCATTGCGTTGCACCTTTTCCTGCTTGCTTCCTAAGAATGGCATCAATTTTGGGAGTGCTTGCAGCTTACCTAAATTGTAACTAAATGAAGCAGTTTATTCAATAATGGCAAATATCACATCCATTCTCCTCCCTTATATATTTATTTATTAATATGTCAATAAAATAGAAAATACCTATTAATATATATAGTCCAAAAATAAAAATATTAACTCAGTTTTTCGGGGTTTTTTTTTTTTTTTTTTTTTTTTTTTTTGTAACTTTAATTTCATTTTGAATCGAGTCGGAGTCGACGTGTTTTTTTTAGCAACTCCACAGCCCTGTAACCAAAGACTACATAACCGATCAACCCTTTAAACGTCCTCGCACCATGGAGCATAATATGAACTGGTAACTTTGTATATAGTACTAATTTATTTCCATTTATCCAAGATTTGTATTGCTAGTTTAATCATGTTTACTCCTATGTCACGTAATCACCTCACAGCCGCTCGAAAAAAGTGCTGTACTGCTACACTTGGCACAGAGGTAGGGTTCCCACCTCTCCCAGAATTGTCCTGAAAATTTAAAATCTCCCAGCTCCCGGAATAAATTAAAAATAAATATTACTCTCCCGGAATATCAAGTTTCTCGAAAATAATCACACAGTGTGCACGGACGAAATGGTTGAGAGCATCGAAAAATCACACGACTGCGTGCGGCAGCCAAAGAACTATGTTAATACAGTCTGATGTGAGTGATAGCTGATGTGAGTAGGCACCTTATGGGATGAGTTGTGGTTTTATGCCGGCATGTAGCGTGTGCACGCCCTCGTATCCCCTCACCCTCTCATTTTCAATCAATTCTTTCATTTAGTCTGCAGTTAGCTAGCTATCCACAAAAAAGTGCGTATTTTGAAATTATTTAAATGCTTTCATAATAATGTGTAGTGGAAAAAAAAACAATTCTGATTCTGCAAGAAAAAAGAAAAGTACCACAAAAAAAAAAGACAAAATATTCGATGTTGTTGTTCAAGACAGGTGGTTAACTCAATTTTATTAGCTTATGAAGAGAAACAACTTTGACGGTTAATACAGTCAAAAGTCGTTAATCCGGACTCGTCGGGACTTCGGCGATTCCGGATTATCAATTTTTCCGGATTATAGATCATCAGTTTAAATTTCGTAAGATGGCATGCAGAAATTCTAAAATTAAAAATATGAGACCGTAATTTATGAAATAAAGAACAATTATGATCTAAAGGGTATCAAAATTTACCAAAAAAAAAAAAGCTTCATATTTATTTGTTTACTTTATTAAACATTTCTTTCAATGTAAGTTGTTTCGTTTTATGTGATAATACTTTCTCTTTAATTCTATAAACAGACATAATTTCTTGTTCAGTTACAAAGTTCCGCTGTTCAAGTCTCGTTAATTGCTGTGCTGAGAATACCGACTAACTTGTCAATCGAATTTTTTTCGTTTTCACTAACCTCTCTGTCACATTCTTCATGTCTTTATCCATTTTTTGCAGCAATTCCACTTTTTGTTTGTTGGACATCGAAACATACTTTCGTTTTGTAGATCCTTTGGAAGTTCCAGCATCGGAAATTCTATTTGACATAATCGAAAGTTCAAGTTTACTTTTATAAAATTGCTCTTACAGTCTGCAAAAAATAATAAGCGCGATCCAATTCGAAGATTAAGGAACAACGCAATCATTAACATTAACTGAAATAGATAATTAGATAATTTTAGCTTACACCGTTCGTTATACATTAAACGCGCAGGCGGAAACGTATTCTGCACTTGCGCACACGCATATGCGCAGTAGTCGAAGTCTAACGCGCACGCGTAAAATGCATGTGCAGAAAGTTTTTAGCTTTAAGGTCCGAATTAACGACTTTTGACTGTATTAAGTACAAGGAATGTTAGATTCGAACCCCTACTTTCGCGCTTTATGTTTTTCCTTATTTGAACTACGTATCTTGATTTTAAAAATATTGTACTATTATTCTGCTTGCACCCATAGCTGTTTTTGCATTCTTTGGACTTATATATATATATATATATAATGTATTGAATGCCTAAGGAATTATAAGAATATGTTAAAATCAAGGCCTTTTAAAGGCTGTTTACATCACTATGAAGAATGGTAATACGATTTACCCAGCCTTTATTTTTATGCAGTCATTGGTTGTAGGCATATACTCCCACTCAAAGAAGTGTTTTAAATGATGAACATATTCATGTTTTGACAATGACAATTTTAAAAAAAGAAATGGAGTTTTCGACAAATAGTGAAATCGTAACATTTAGTGCTATCTCCTGGTTCCTGTACTTAAATTTGGGAAAGTTTTATACTCATTATGAAAAAATAAAATTATACACTCTAGTGTAGAATTGGGTGCCTCTTCGTTTAGCGACAATTTTTTTTTTTTTTTTTTTTTTTTTTTAATTGCAATGAAACCTCATTTCTGTTTACCATGATAGTTTTAATTTTGTTTTAGCTTCCCGATTTTTTTTTTTAAATGAAAATAGATTGATGTGCACATGGACAAATTTAAGGCAGTGCACAATGTGTGAAATTCTGGGATGTTTTTTTAAGTGAAAACAGATCAATGTGTACATGGACACAGAGTTTGTGCAATTCTTTAACTTTTAATTTGGTTTTGTGTAGCAGCCATCTTGAAACTGGGCCTTCCTGGCGTCAAAAAAAAAGGAGCACCCAATTGTAAACTTTTATAAGAAATTAATTTTATCTAAAACTGGCCTGAGTGCATTTAATTTCCATGAGTAGAACTGAATCATGTAGTTTCTCTTTTAATATAATAAATTGTCATGTGTGTATCAAGTTGTTTGTTTTCTATTGTAGGAGAGGGAATCGAAATGGCTGATGATTGGGATGTAGAAGCTATGCTTGAAGCACCTTACAGAAAGGAGGTGAGGAATTTATAAAAGAAACCCTTTTTTTTTAACTTGAATGTTATGTTTTAATTTTTATTTTTTATTGCTTCTAAGTAAAACTTTCCAGAAATATTCAACATCTTAAAAATAATGTTCTTGCTCTGTCTTGTAGAATGAACTGATTCGTCCCTGTTCCTATGGATTACTTAACCAAGGTAGTATGCATTGCCAAAAAAAGGGTACTGCAGCTAAGCTTTTGGTTGTATATAATACAACTGGCTTTATATTTTTATTGAAAAAGAGGCCGCAGGACACTTCGGATCATATAATTTCACTGTAATTATCTAAATTTAATTCAAATTATTACATAAACATTACTCAAATTCAACTTCCATTAAGTAGTTTATAGGTGTAGTCTTCTTCCAATTTTTGCTAGCAGTTTTCATACACGGGAAGTATGTTTTATGTTAGGGAGATTTAGTTCTGAAATTATTCTTGTACAGCATTTCATTACATGAAATAAATCTTAGCTGAGGACCTGTAGTAATGAGAAACAGTTTCATGTATTTATAATATAGTGTAAAGTTTTTTACTTTGAATTTAAAATGATTATTATATATTCATTAAATAGTAATCTAGTGATAGTTCTCTATCCATAATTTTTGAATATTTTCCCCCAGTTTTAATACTGCATGGTTTAAAGAAAAAGTTTATCACTGTTTCAGTTTTCTTATGAATTAAAAAAAATTAATTTTCGTTAATTTATCTTTTAAAAATACTTTTTAGTTTTTTTATTTTATTTACTAGAATATAAAACTGTGAGGTTGTTTTATATCATTTAAAATATTGCTTTCTTTTGTGCTTTCATCATAACTTATCTTTTTAACTAAAATATGTAGGTAGTCTGATTGGAATCAGTTGTTTTGTTAAATATGCTCTTGCTATACAGGAGAAGCAATATTCATAACATTCTGGGAAACAAGCATCAGCTTCTTACACAAACTCTTGTCTAGAATTATTTTTCATATTTTGTTTGTAATAAATGTTGATAAAGAATACAGAAAGTGCTGATTTGTGGTGCACACATAATCCTGTTATGTAACCATCAATGGAATCGGATCTCCTCTCAAAATGGTCATGGACATACCGAAATCCTTAGCTTTGCAGAGTGATATATATATATCTAATTTTAAAGTTTTTAAAACTAAGAAAATGTAAGTTCTTCAGTTCTCATGTAAGTGCAGAATCGCCTACTTATTTGTGTGTGGGTTTTTACTAGAGTAAAAATAATTGGATTTTTGTCAATTTTCTTTGACTTTTTAAGTGAAAATGAGTCGATGTGTACATGGATAAAGTCAAGGGAGTGCACATTGCCTTTTTTTTTTTTTTTTTTTCCCAATTCTGTGATTTGTTTTAAAGTGAAAATAGGTTGATGTGTACATGGATACCGAGTATGTGCAATTCTTAAAAACGCGCCAAGCAGTGGGCGATTCTGCATTTTTCCCACTTCTTCTTTGGGGGGGGGCCTATCGAAGAATTACTGTTAATTCCATTTATATACAACTTAATAAATGTGCTACGTTTAAAAAGAGCAATGATTGCCATTAAACTAATATTTTGATTTATATTGTTAGCCAATCTAGTTTATTTTGTTATTTATTTAAATTCTTAGTATAGTTGTTCATTTTTCATGCTAGTTCTTCATGTTTTCTTGGAAAGATTCTTAGTGCTTTTTTTTTTTTTTTTTTTTTTACGATGTTTGTTTCTTAAGTTATTTAATAACGTACTTCATTTCACAAGAACTGTGCAACTTAAATATTTTTTAACAGCTAGCAGTGGATTATTGAATTGGATAAGAACCGCTAAACAGTAGTAATTTGCTCTACTTAATGGTATAATTGATTAAGGTCTGGTTGCTTGACTTTTAATGGTTTTTTCAAAAGTTCATGTGCAGTATTTATTAACTAGAGTATACAACTGATATCTTTCTCTTAAAAAAAAAAAAAAAAAAAAGTTATCTAAATCAGAATCTAATAAAATATATCAAAAATATATCAAACCTTTATCAAATAGTATAATTTGGTTGGAAGTCCTACGTAATTGTGAATAGTGTTTTGTATTCTTTTACTTAAGCATTTCAATTGATGGGATTAATAAATTTGTCTGTATTATATTTAGTTTTTTTACATGTTAAAGTGTGATATATGTAATAATTTTAAATACAGTTAATCTTTTGCAAGTCTTCTAAATTGTGTTAAAAATACTGTAGTTTGTTAAGAAAATTGTAAACAAAAAAAGTATAATAGTTTTCAATATGATTTTAAGTATTTAAGATTATCATGTTTTTATTATTTAATTATAATTTTATGTTTGCTACATTGGAACTTGCGAGTATTTTTTTCATAGTAGTATTAATGCGTGTATATACAGTCAAAAGTCGTTAATTCAGACACCCATAATCCGGAATGATCTATAATCCGGACCTCAAAGCTACAAACTTTCTGCGCATGTGTCGCCTTGACGCATGCGCGTGAGAACTTTACGGCTGCAAATATGCGTGTGCACGTGCGCAAAAAAAAAATTACGAAGGCGCATTTAATGTATAACGGACAGTATAAGCTAAGCTAAAATTATCTAATTCAGTTAATGTTGCAGATTGCGTTGTTCCTTAATCTTCGAATTGGATCCGGCTTATTATTTTTTTGCAGACTGTTAGAGCAATTTTTATAAAAGTAAGCTTGAACTTTCGATTATGTCAAATAGAATTTCTGATATATATTTAGTAATATGTAAAAGATCTACAAAGCGAAAGTATGTTTCGAAGTCCATTAAACAAACAGTGAAATTGCTGCAAAAAATGGATAAAGGCATATCCTGTGTTTATTTAACCATTCCGAAATCTGTTTATCAATTTCACGCTGCTCTGCGGGGGGGAGGGGGGATGCCTCGGGATGAATTGGAAGTTGATCTGTCAGCACTACCCTTATCTTCAGGGCAGATGTTTTTATTTTATTTGGCTTATAATTCCTTACTAAATGTAGTATTTCATCTCGATGTACTCCGTCTTTGATATGATTTAAATCAAATTCCTCGTCATTATAATTCGCTTCTGATAGTGAAGAAATTGACACAGATGTTATTGAAAACGAAAAAATTTCGATTGACAAATTAGTCGCTATTCTCGACATGGCAATTATAGGACTTGAACAACGTAACTTTGTAACTGAACAAGAAATTATGTCTGTTTATAGAATTAGAGAGAATGTATTATCACATAAAAAACGAAGCAACTTAAACAACTTACATTGAAAAAATGTTTATTAAAGTAAACAAATAAATATTAAGCTTTTTTTTTTTTTTTTTTTTTTTTTTTTTTTTTTTTGTAAATTTTGATATCTTTTAGATCATAATTGTTCTTTATTTCATAAGTTACGGTTTCATATTTTTAATTTTATAATTTCTGCATGCCATCTAACCAGATTTAAACTGATGATCTATAATCCGAAATCGCCGAAGTCCCGACGAGTCCAGATTAACTATTTTTGATTGTATATATATTATGTGAAAATATTTAAAAATAAGAAATATGCTTGAAGGTTTTTCTTTCTATGTATTTCTATATTGAAGAAAGATTAATTTTATTAATTTTTTTCACTTTATTAAAAAAATTCAAATAACTGAATTTTTAAAGTTAGCTTAAAACTTACTTGTGGGAAGGAATTCCTTTTTAATGTAACCTCTGTTTTTGGAATAATAAGCCAGAAGCTTTAATTTTCAAGTATCTCAATTAAAACGTATTGTGAGTTCCACGTTAGCCTGGTTAACCTATCTGTGACTGAATTTAACAGTATTTTAAAGGCTAATGTGTAATTCACATATGATAAATATGTTTCCTTTTTTAGTAATTTCTTTTTCATTTTATATGCATTAAAATCTCTGAGGAAACTTAAAAGGTTGGTGGTCAGAAAGCAAATTTATTGGTTTCTTTTTTATAGATAGTATCTGGAATCTTGTTTGAAATCTTCATACAACCTGATTATAAAGAGCTTATAAAATCAAAAAGGTTTGTTTTTGCACAATAAAAAGTTAATTGTGCTGTGTTCTTTGGGAATTTCCAAATTGTTATGTTGCCTATTTTTTAGGTTGCTCCCATTTGATCCGGACAAATTGGTGCTCCAAAAGAAAAATCAACGGCATTATTTTCTGCAATAAATTTCTTGTTCTCTCCCACTGTTGTGATTTTCTAAATACTTAAAAATTTTAGCATTATTTAAAGAAAAATACATATCAAAAGTTGAATATTAATAATCATTATCATAAGATCTTAAATTCAATTTTACCCAGTGCCTTTTTATTGAAAGTTGAAATGTAACGATAATTCTGTTTTTTAAATCTTCGACAGATTTCCATTCCTCCAATTCCCACAATTTTTTTAATGCTTATTTTTCAAACTTTTTAGTCTATTGAAAGTCAAATCTAAAATTTTAGAAATACAAAGGAAATATATAATAAGTAATTTACCCTACTTGGTGTAATTTGTATCTGTTAGCATTCAAGTACAGAAGTTTGTCAAATTAAGTCCCCAAGTACATAAGAGACACAAAAAAATTAATAAGAATTATTAGTTCATAAAGTAAGCAAATGTAACCTCTTGATTAAAATAAATATTGTATTCAGCATTTGGTATCTAAAAATAATGACTCTGGTGTCTTCTTTGTGTATCTAAAATCCCTTAATAGTTGTAAATAAAAATTTAAGTTATTTATTTTATGATAGGGATTCATAAGATAAATTAATAATCATAATTTTGGTGGTATCATTAAAAACTTAATTTACATGCATTAATTTATCATATTTGGTACAATTCTGTTATAACGACCCTACAAAATTACCTAATTGTTGATGCCAAAAATACTTATGGTAACTCTAATGTAAGAAGGAAAGCATAAAAGTAAATAACTAGGATTATTATTTCAATTTAGATGAAAGGTTAATTTCCTATAATTCATCTTTTATTGTTATAATTTATAAAGAAATGGCTAAACATAATTGGAAGAAAGCATAATAGTAATTAACTATGTAAGATTATTAATTTGATGAAATGTTAATTTCGGGTGAAGTGTAGAACCGCCCACTTATTTGGCTCTTTTTACAAGAGTAAGGAGAAATGGATTTTTGTCAATTTCCTTTGACTTTTTAAGTGAAAATAGATCAAAGTGTACATGGACAAATTCAAAAGAGTGCACAGGGTTTGTAGTGGTTTTTACAATTGCTTATAAGTCTTTATATTTGAAAATAAAATATAAAGGCCCTTATAAGTGTTTACTTTTTCTCTAAAGCACTTATTTTTTTCCCTCCTTCCCCCCCCCCTCTTAACGAACACACATTTTTTCCCCGTACCAAAGCCGAAACTAAACTTTTCTTCCTTATCTAGAACATCAGATGGTGAATCATGCTTCCGTTAATAGCTTTTCGACCCTTTCTCTGCATAACCTTTGGTGGATGCGAGTACAGACAGATGGTGCACATCGTTCTATTGGTCAAAGAACACCGAAAGCGGTAGAAAATTCTGGTATATTCCGTATTCTTTTCCTCCCACCCAAGACTATCATGTTTTCTATCAAGATTTTAATAATTTGCATTCCCGTTCCATGTGGTCAGTTCATATTCACATTTATAATTACATTAGGAGCATATGTATGAATATTTATAATATATTTGCAGTAACTGCTGAAGTATAAAGTTGGGAGGTCTTCGAAAATCTCGAATATTGAAACCGTTACCGTTTGCAGAAAAACAAGCAACTTTTTTTAGGGGGGTCTCTTTCCAATCTGATTTAATAGGCCTAGTTCTGTGGCGAAGAAAGATTCTATTCCCGAAATTTAACGCAGTCTCTTCAAAATTACAATGAAAAACACAGCAGATTAGTAAATCTCTTTCTTCAGTTCAGCTGGGCCATTTTTATATGATTCAGATATCGAAATATCAAAAGCATTATTTAGCCAAAGAAAATGGCTACAATCTACCCCCTTCCAGTCACACATCCGGAATTTTCGGATATTCAACAGTTTCCGAGTATGCCGGTTAGCTAAGCTTTTACTGTTAAAAGATCACTGCAGGAAGCAATTTCCTGTCTTCTGATTTAAAAAATGTTCTCTATTTACTTAAATTACTTTGCTTGCAAAAACCGTTATACAATAAAAATTTAGACAATGTTCAGAATTTTGATTTTAAGTTAAAATATTTAAATATTAATGAGTTAAAAAATAAATTCTATTTATTTTTAAATGCCAAGCACATATAATAAATGTGGCTTATTATTATTTATTTTCTCTATTTTGAACTGAAATTTCATCATTAAATCTTGTAACATAGTTTAGTTATGAGATTTCCCCCCCCCTCTCATTCTAAACTAGTTCTGTAAATTGAACTGTTATTTAAATTTTTTTAAATGTAATTGTTTTCCATAATAGAGTAATACTCATTCTCTCTTAATAAATACTGAATTTCTTGTATTTTAAATTACAAGTCTAATTTTTCTTTGAAGGTTATGCAGTTGTGTATAATGTACTTAGACAGGTGCTTATTTTTTTTTCTTAAAATATGCTTGAAAAGTGCTTATAGGTGCTTATTTTTTTAATTAAAATGTGACTACTAACCCTGGTGCACAATGCCGAGTTTGTGCTATTCTCTGATTGTGTTTTTTTAAGTGAAAATGGTCAATGTGTACTTGGATACTGAGTTTGTGCAATACTTAAAAACATGCCAAGCAGTTGGTGATTCTGCACTTCCCTTAATTTCATATAATGCATTTTTTTATATTTGAATTTATAAAACAAAATGGCTGGGCATGGGAAATTAAACGAGAAACATAAAATTTTTGATATCTTCCAACATTGTAGAGAAAATTTCACATAAATTCAGACAAAGAATGGAAATGCTGTTGAGTAGTTCTCCAATAGCATTTATAATGCCATTTAGCACTGCCCCCTAGCCGCTTTGTTGTTTGTGTACAACATCCACTTTTAAGATCTGCAAAATTGTAGTTGTGGTTGGCATTAAAATGTTTAAAAACTATCTAAATTTATGAGCAGTTAAATGGGCACATTGCTAGATTTGGCACTTCTGCACATATATTTTCACTGCAATTTCGTGCAGTCCTTATAACGGAATTGTACCTCATATTTGTGAAATTTATGTAAGTGTAATATTTTTGTCAGTGTGTTACTAAATGTTAATGAATTATTATTTTTAATAGGATGAATCATCTGAAAGGTTTAATGGTGGTCATAATGCAGACAAAGAAAATCGCAGGTAAGTGTATAAAGTACATGCGTACTGAACTGGAAGTTTTTGCTGATTAATTTATGAATTAGAATGACTTGCATAATGTGTTAGTTGCAAATGTAAGAAAGAATGATACTTTCTGATAATCCATATCTCCATCACAAAGCCATGAAAAACTATTGATAGGGCACTGCACCATGACAGCTTAAAAATACTTTTGTTATAATCTAGTTACGTGTGTAGCATCCCCTTCCCATTTGGCAATTTACCTTAGCGGTGGATGCTTTCTGCATGTATAGAGCATAATGTTCCTTTTTTTTTTTTTTTTTTTTTTTTTTTTTTTCCCTCTCGTTTTAGGATTTTGATGCCAAACGTGTACAATTATGTCATTATTTTGTGGAAATGTATTGCTATATACACTAGCCAACAAAATTAAAGGATAATGACAGAAATAAAATGTAACAGGTACTTATGAAAAATTATAGAGATTATATTGAAGCATTAGTTAACATAAATTACAATGTTTGGTAGTTAATTATTTGCAAAATATTGAAATTAAAACCAAATTTATAGAAGTAGGAAAATGCTGTTAATCACTGAATTTGCATATTTCTGATGCTAACATGTGCACGTAAATGAAATTTTATCTTCAGTTATATTTAATTAGCATAAATAATTACAGCATTTTTGCATTAGTTGCAACATTAACTTATTGAATGTATTTTTTCTCATTATCCTTTAATTTTGATGACAGGGGCATTAGAACAACAGTGGGGAAAAAAAAAAAAAAAAACTCCTATTGTAGTTATAATACAAGTAATAATAATAATGCTTTGGGGATCCAAAAGTTTTTTTTTTTTTTTTTTTTTTTTTTAAAGTCTCATGCAATTATCAAATCTTTGTTTTCGAGTGATGTCATAATTTATTCACCCTCAGCACCGGGAACACACACTAAGGTGCTAGACTGGAATTTTCTTAACGTACCTGGTAAACCTGGAAAAATCAAGGAATATCATTCTCCTGTTCAAATGGCAACCCCGTATGTACATAAAATGAGAACTTGAACTTTTAAAACTTTATTTGTTAGGTTTGAAAAACCATGAGTAATTTTTTAAGGAAATGCAGATATTACTCTATCTATTCTATTTCAAAAGTATAATAAACATAAAGACAATGAAAATTTAGTGATTTGTACAAAACAAGCCATTTAAAAAAATGCTGAGTGCAAGGGAAGTGAAATTATTTTTCAGTGTAGTGTGAGATTTTTTTGGGGGGATGAATGCATTTTCATATATAATAGAAAACATTCCTCTAAGTATCTTGTTTCAAAAGCATGCTGAACTTTCTGGCATATTAAGTAAACTTTCATTTCTTGGTAAATAGTTTCCCATCCATTATTGATGAAAAAAATCTTAATCAAATGGGAGTTTGAGTTTTCTATGTATCAATTAGATAATGTGAAAGAAGTTGCAAATTTACGTATTGATGTTACATGGTGAAAAGAAATCGCAAAATTAGAAGATATGAATTAATTCATTAAATACAAAGCCTACTGTAGTGCTTGCTGCCCTAATAATGCTTCATTCAAGTATAGCTTGCAAAAGAATTTTTTCTGTTATGTAAATAAAAAAGAAAGGAAAAAAATCTGACTGAATTTCAACCAAATTTTTATACGAAAACACTTGGAGCAGTTCTGATTGAAAAGATAAACATGCAGGCAAATGAAGAACTGTTTTATAAAAATCATTCTCTAATTCAGAACTAAAGTATACTATATACAAATCTTTATAATTATATGTATTATTCTTGTGTATTTAGAATTTAATTTTTTAATTTTATTTCCCTGTAAAAAGAATCCAGAAACCTCATAAAGATAGATGACTAATGGGTGATTTCCTCTATAAATTAGTGGTTTAAAATATTTGCTACAATAATATATTAGTAAGTTTAGTGATATTTCTGCTTGAGGAGAAAAATGAAAATTTATAATTCAAGATGCATACAAATCACAAATATTTTTAATTAAGTGTAATTAAATGATTTCAATTGACACTTTCCGGACAGGTGTTCCATATATGCATTTCCTATGAACATCTCTCACAGCCGGGCATCCACCCATGGATCACTGGAGAATGAGCTTTAAGGGACAGGCAAATGCATTATGAATCATTTCTTAAAGACCATTAGATGGCATATTGTGTCCATTACTTTTGAACTTGACATATTTTTAAGATCCTAACCTTCAGTATAACTTTGGAGTTGGCTGTTTTGGGGACGAAGGAAAAGCAAAATGTAAATAAATCTCGGCTTCCTTTCTCCCTATGTGGTATAAGCATTTGCCTTTCTGATTTTTGCCCCCTCCCAACTGTATAGGATGTTTTAGAGTTATCATGTGGGGTTCCGTTACACTTTGCATTGCTTTTATGGCTTAAATTTTGCGTATTTCCCTTTTTATTTTGGAAAGCCTTAAGCAGGAATTATTTATCAGAGGAAAGATATACTCCCATGTTAAATGTTAAATTTCAAAAAGATTTAGTGAAACATATGTTAAAGATTTTTTTAAACATTCCACTGAAGCTTTCATCAGCTGTGCAAAATATCTGCAGAAGACTTTGCCATTGAACAACCCATTATTAAAAAGCATATTAGGAATTGATTCTACAGGCAGAGGTCACCATAGTATCTTACTTCAGTTAAAAACATTGCCTGAATTAATCCAGAAAGTTTTGACACAATAAGACAAAATTTCATATAATTTAGAAGTGCATAAATACCAAATTGATAAAAAATTAGCTTCACCGTTAGATATAGATGGAAAAATAATGAGACTTGATGAGTGGTGGGCCAAAGTATTTGAAGATGGCAGTTATCCAGCTTTATCCAAAATTGTAAAATTTATTTTGATTTGCTTCCATGGGCCACAACTTGAGAGTGCTTTTAGTTCTATGAGCAGTGTATTAGACGAGTGAGGCCGCATGAGCATAGACACATTGTCTGCTATACAAACAGTAAAATACAAATTTTTGAGATGCAATAAGTCAGCTGTGAATTTTTTAAAAGGGATGACCACATGCATTCTCCAGTACACAAAACTCTGAAAAAATTTAAGGAATGCTCATAAACTGTACAAAGAAGAGCTAGAGATAAAAAAGGGAGGAGCTATTAAAACATTTCAGAAAGTAAAAAAGTAATGAATTGTATAAAAGCTGCTGAAAATAAATTGAGACTAGCTTGCAAACGGAAATTAGAAAAGTAGCAAAAAAGAAAAAGCTTTTTCCTTAAAAGTTTTTAATCAGGATCGAGTGAGACTGAAACAAAATAGTTATTTTTTATATTCCTCCTATAACTGTATGCTATTTTGTAACTATATTATCTCTAAAACTTGTCATTGCTTGAAAATGGGCAGTAATATGTAACATAAATATGTATATTAGTGTATTGTAATGTTGTGTACAGTATTCATGTATCAACTGTTAAATTAAGTTACATAAAGAGCATCTTAAAAAAGGTTAATTCATTACAATCTCTTTTTTGATTTACTGATTTTTTTTTTTTTTTTTTTTCTTTTTTACAAGTGGAGTATAAAATTAATTGCAAAATGGTAAGTACAAGTATTATTTTAGTTTAATTATATGTATAATACTTTTTATATTAAAAGGTTGATATTTTATTAAAATGATTTTTTTTTTTTTTTTTTTTTTTAAGGTTGTGCGTGCGTATTTAGTTTTTGTGTCTGTGCGTTGTTCAGCTTTTTTTGCCAACTTGCACTTTCATACCTGTAACTACTGTGTGTAGACATTTAAAATATATAAATTTTTATTTTCTCTTTTAACAGTATATACTTTTTATTAAAATTTGGATGTTTTTAATGCTTTCTTTTATTAATTCATTATTTGCTCAATAGTAGTGCGAAGAAAAAGAAAAGGAGCCGAAGTAGAAGCAGAGGTCGGGATGGTAAAAGAAGCCATAGTCGTGAACGCAGGAGTCGAAGTCGGGATAAGCGCAGCAGAAGTAAAGATCGTAAGAGAAGTCGCAGTCGAGACCGTAGGAGAAGCAGAAGCCGTGATAGAAGGCGTAGAAGCTACAGCAGAGGTCGCAAGGAGCGCCATCGTACTAGGTACTTTTCCAATGCATAATTTTTAATAAAAAAACAGATATTTTGTACTTAATTTTCCATGTTTTCTGCAGGTTGTTGGAATGGGATTATTTTTTAACTAATTTTAATACTGTTTTTAAAATTAGTCTCAAATTGAATTATAGTTATCAGTATATATACTGTGAGTATTGATCTCAGAGTAACAAATAATTTCATTTCTGTATCTTTCTGCTGTGATAGTGTTATTTTTAAAAGAACTTATGGCTGTCGGACTAGTAAAAAAGAAGAATAATCAGCAACATGCTGAAATTCAAGATGGCTCACAGAATCAAACAGAATGGTGCTTTGAATTGTATTTTAACCTTCACTGGATAAAACATATCTTATAGAATTTTTGTGAACTACCATATTTGTATGTTAATCCACATTTTTTATAGGAAGTAAAAAACAAAACTTGCATTTTATGCAGAAATTTTTGATAGGTTGAAAGCTGAGTAAAAAATAATGCAATTTCTCCTCAATGCTCTCTCTGCAAGAGTTTGGTGGCTTTTAAAAAGCCCTATCTATTTTTTGATTGATTTCAAATTCAAATTTTTTCAATTTACGTCATTGCAATAAGTAACATTTAATTCTTATACTGTTTGTGATTAACTGTATTATATTTATGTAGTAAACAGAATTATTAATTTTATTCTTACTTAATTTGGTAACTAGCTTATTTGTTCCAAGAAGTTGATAATTTGATCCAAGGAATTAAAAACTGAATTTCATTTTCAACTTTATATATATATACTTGTTAGTGAATAGTCGCAGTAATTTTAAAAAAATATAAAATTCTTGCTTATTTAACTTGAAGGATTACTTCTTATTAAATAATTTATGCATTTTTAAACAGTATTGAATATGTAGTTGTGGCTGTTGAGTTACTGTCAAAACTGTTTAACACAAGGTGCTTGCTTTTGTATATGTAATGAATGAGACATTCTAATGTTGATCCATATTGAAAAACAAACTTGGCAGCTGAGGAGGATTAAATATTCATCTTTATTTCAATTGCAGCCATATTTTACCTGGCTCTGTAATCATGCCTATTAAAAAATATTAACATTTTTTTATGGGAGGAGAGCATCAAGGCAGCGTGTTCTGCAATAGAGGTAGGAGCAAAAAATGCCCAGTTATTCAATATGGAAGCAAACGGTTTTAGTTTAAGTTCTAAATTGGTTAGAGAAAGTTTCAATTTAGGTTTCAAATTAGTTATGCCTTCAGCATTATTTAGTCCTGTATGGATTGATCTAGAAATGATGCACTACAGGGAAATTTTGATGGATTGCAGATGCAGGTGGGGGACATATAAAAATCTAAAGACAAAATTTAAAGAGCTGTTGCCATTTAAGTTAGTAATTTATTAGAGATTTATTTCCTTATTATCCCAAAGGCTGTTAGCCCAGCAAGGTTCTTAATTTCGTTTTACATTTTGCGTTGATTCACTATAATTGGCGAATCACTTATTCAAATTGTTGCCACCAAATATGAGAGCCATGTATTATATTTAAAGAAATGAAGAATCTGCATAATTAATTGCTGAATTAAATAATGAAGAAACATACAAATGTATGTATGTTTCTAGCATTGTGATAAAACAACGGTACCTAGAGCCATCAAATTTTTTAATAACATACGTCTCCACCCGAATATAGGCATCTGGAAGCCCAAATTTGGAATTTGTTTTATTATCTTTTTCATATATTGTAAAGCATTTGAGTTTTTCATTAAGAAACTCAACAATTTCAAACCGAGCAATGGCAGCACTGTACGAGAGGGGCAGACATTTTTATCTCCATCGTGCGACACTGTGTATAGAAAATTCTAAAGATATGCACTTTTATATATTTTGTGATGTTGCTGTTAAATTGAATTTTATGGTTTAAGTGCAAAGAACATGATATTTAACCCTCTAAGCGGCAAAGCCGTATATATACGGCCTAGAGTGGTATCTGTAAGAACATATATATACGTGCATATTAAAATATGTCAACGAAATTAAGGCAATATATCAAAAGAAAACAAATCCAGGTATGAAATACCAGTAGAGTTTTTACATTAAAATCGAAAAAATAATTTGTTCTCGTAGTAGTTTTGTGAAATTTGTGCTTTCTTAGCGATATCCCTGGCCGCCCAGAGGGTTAATAAATAAAGGTAATGCACGAAATGTTAAAAAAAAGCCCTTTTAGGTGTAATATAAAATCTGAAAGTTTTTTATAAATATATCATCAGTAAGAATGCAAATTATGTCTGTAAAGTATGTTATTTTTATGAAAAAAAAGTAATTTGTTGCTACCCATGCAGATAAATTTTAATGTTTGTTTAAAGGAGCCGTAGCAGAGAAAGACGAATTCATAGTCGTGATAGACGGTCAAGATCACCTCGACGAGAACGTAGGAGGTATAATTTTCTTAATTGTGCAGATTGACATTATATAAGTACATCTCTGATTTTATTTTACTGTTAATATTTTATTTTCCTTTTTCCCCTTAACAGGCATAGGACAAGATCAAGAAGTCCAAGGTATATTGACTAGTATTAGCTGAGAATTAGTATATAAACTTTTGCAGAACTAAGCTTTATATAAAACTTTGATTTATAACTATGTTAATTAGAATTTAGTTTTTAAAAGTCTTATTTTTATTAATATTTTAAATATTTATTAAATGCAGGCATAACCCCCCCCTTTTTTTTTTTTTTTTTCCAGGAAACATTCTCCTCCTAGAAGTCCATTAGGGTAAGGAATTTTTATTTTTAGATTTAAGTATTGAAAATAAGTTCTTTAAAGTTAATAATAGTGTTTGAAAGGATTTTATATCATTTTTTTTTTTTTTCTTTCTTTAGGTCTCATACTCAAGTATTTGATAGTCTTCGAAATAAGTAAGTGTCTTTTAAATGAATTCATAATAAGAACCTTTTTTACTTCTAATAACTCATTAAATATGTGTGGGAATTTATGTAAATGTAAATTTGAAAAGCACTTTAGTTTGGTATTAAAACACGTACATTCCCTTGGAATTAATTAAAAGCTCTTAACAAAAATGAAATTTATGTAGTCATTAATTTTTAATCATTTTACATGTAAATGAATTGTCTGTATACAATGATGAAAAATCTCGGAAATAAATTAGAAGTCCTTTTTTTAGTAAGTTATTTTCGTAATAAATTACAAATTAGGAATATTCATGTATTTTTATTATCATTAATTTATCATTTTTTATTTCTAGATTGCCGAATGATGATATTAGCCCAGAAGACAGAGATCTTCGCACAATATTTTGTATGCGTCTTTCACAAAAGGTTCGTGCTAGAGATTTGGAGGAATTTTTTTCATCGGTTGGTCCAGTAAGTAATATTGTCTCCCTCTTTATATTAATTTTATTATTCAATGTGATTGTGATACTCAGTAAAATGATTCAGCTTAATTTCATTCTTTCTGTAGGCTGATTGATGTCTTTGGTGAATAACTAAGTCCTAGCCTGTAGAAAGCTCATAACTCTTGTATCATTAATTTGGGGATGTTAAAAACTACTACAGTAGCATTGTATTTTATTGTTTTTACATGGTAATTTCTTTATGTGTTTTAACTGGTGTAAAACGAGTATTGAGCCATGTTAAGCTTTTAAATAAAATATTGGGTACTCGTGCATTAGCAGGGAGAAGTGATAAATTGCCAAATATTGTTTGAGCTTTCAGTTACTGATATTAGCAATTGTTCAGGTGGCAGTCTTAGTAACTGAAAAGAAATAATAATTTTACTATGTGTTTCAAAGTTCCACTTACAGACATTGAGATGTAGAGATTGTACTTTACTTCAATGTAGTAATGCTAAGTAACAGTCTAACACCTGGAAACCCACTCAATCAATAGAATTCTCTTAATAATGAGGAAGGCAATCTTGAATTTTTATATTAACGTTCATTTTGGGACTTGGGGATTATGGACGTGTCAACCGAATAGGTGCTTGCTTTTGGAATCATATGTAATAAATCCATGTTTCAATAAAAATGACAGCATATTCCAACAAATAGGGCTCATTTTAAATGTGTTCTAATATGTCTAATACACACAAGTTTTTACGGTTCTGTTTTTGGTCATCGGACAGAACTTTTGGAAAATTTATTTATTGAACAGCTTCCCTATTCAAGTTACTGTAATCACTGACCTTTGGTACCCACATCTTCCACGCTGTCCTTTCACTCCAAAAACTGTTTATGCCATTCAAACAGATAAAGCAGGGTTCGTGGCAGTCCTTATATTTGAAAATAAAATATAAAGGCCCTTATAGGTGCTTACTTTTTCTTTAAAGCCCTTTTTTTTTTTTTTTTTTTTTTGTGTGTGTGTGTGTGTGTGTGCTTATTTTTTTAAATGAACGAGCAATTTTTCCCTGTACCAAAGCTGAAATTAAATAAACAACTTTTGTTCCTAATATGGAATGTCAGATGGTGAATCATACTCCCGGAAATAGCTTTTCCCCCTTTCTCTGAATTAACATAACCTTTGGTGCACGCAGAGAGTACAGACAGGTGCCCATCGTTCTGTTGGTCAAAAAATTGCGAAAGCAGTAGAAAATTCCGGTACATTCGGCATTCTTTTCCTCCCTCTTAAGTACTACTCACGTTTGAATTTCTATCAAGATCTTAATAATTTGCATTCTCGTTCCGCTTGGTCAGTGCATATTCGTGTTTATTATGATCGTTATGCTTATATTATGAGTATATGTATGAATGTTTATAATAACATAGTTGCAGTAACTGCTGAAGTATAGTAAACTTCCAAAAATGGTTGTGTTTTAACACAGATTAGCTTTCTAAGGAATAGTATTCGGAATGGCTTAAATAAAGGTAAAGTAATCAAATAGTCCAAATAATTTTTTTTTTTTTTTTTTTTTTTTTTTTTTTGCCAATACATTATATAGTATGAAGGTTGGGAGGTTCTCCTCTTTCTCCGCAAAATCTCTAATATTGAAACTGTTAGTTTTGCTGCAAAACAAGCAACGGACCGCCCCCCACCCTTTTTTTTTTTTTTTTTTTTTTTGTCACATTCCGATCTGGATTGAATAGGACTAAAAGTTCTGAGGTCTACCAACCCAAGCGAAGAATGATTCTATTCGGGGAATTTAACGCACTCTGTTGAAAATTAGAATGAAAAACACCCCAGAATGGTAAGACTCTTTCTTTTCCTTTATTTAGTTCTTTATTCTCCCAATACCGGCAACTGTTGAATCCGATTGCATAATATCATGTAGGGAAGAATTATGGCTCATGTATTGTGCAATAACACTTGCGATATTTTGCAGATATAATTAATTTTGATGTTCGGTCGGAGATTTGTTTATGAACACTTAAAAGAGTTTTACTGTGCTTGCTAAGCAGAATGATTTTTCAGGTTCCATTGGGCTATTGTTTGTATATGATGCACATATCGAAATGTCGAAAAGCATTTATTTAGCAGAAAATTCTAAAGAACGGCTAAAGTCTTTCCCCCCCCCTTCTGCTTCTCTTTTTCAAGTTACACTCGACTGTCCGAATATTCGCCAATTTTCAAATATGCGGGTAGTTAAGCTTTTACTGTTAAAAGATGACTGCATAAAGCAAATTTCTGTCTTCTGATTTCAGAAATGTTCCTCTTTTTTACTTAAATTACTTTGCTTGCAATATCTGTTAAGGGCAAACTGATGTACGATGAAAATTAGGAAAATGTTCAGAATTTAGATTTAAATTAGTTAAATATCAATATGAGTGAAAAAGTAAATTGTATTTATTATTAAGTTCCAAGCGAATAGAATAAATATGCCTTATTATTATTTATTTCCTCAATTTTTGAACTGAAATTTCATCATTAAATCTTGTAATATAGTTTAGTTCTGCATAGTTTTTTTTTTTTTCCCTCATTGTAAACTAGTTCTGTAAATTGAACTGTTATTTAAAATTTTAAAAAAAGTAATTATTTTCCATGGTTGAGGTAATGCTTATTCTCTCTTAATAATAAATACTGCATTTCTCATATTTTGAATTACGAGGCTAATTTTTAAGGTTATGCAGTTGTGTATAATGTAATTAGACAGGTGCTTATTTTTTTCCCTAAAATGTGCTTGAAAAGTGCTTATAGGTGCTTATTTTTTTAACTAAAATGTGGCTATGAACCCTGTAAAGTTCCATCTCCATGAGCTCAGTTAAACATTGAAATATATTTGGGGCTGTGTTCTTAAGTTTTGCAAGAAACTTGACTGTCAAAACTGGCAGCTTGGATAGAGGAGATGTGTATGTGATTATGTCACCAAAACAATTGTTGCTAATTCCTTTTTTTTTTTTTTTTTTTTTTTTTTTCTTGTCTGTATGCCAACTGATATGTTTCCAGATTCGGCATTCATAAAATGATGTTATGTCGTTACATGTGAGTATGCTGCATGTGCTGATCCGGTACCGCACATGTATAGCATATTGGTGTGTGTGCCATCCAGCGGTGTGCTTTCTTCTGGGTCCATCTGTGTGCAGGTTGAAGATCGTTTTATGGAATGTTGTATTAATGAGCAAAACTAAACATGACTTGGAACATCAAGGTTGCATGGGCTGCCACATAAAGCACCGTGTAAATGCTAGATGTTGTGGATAATTTTCTATCTGATGGTAATTGGATGCATTGCATATGAATTGGATTTGATGTTGCTGAATATGACTGGCTCAAGATGTTATTGTTGTAGTGGCAAATGTATATTCTTGGCCTGGATTACTGTCTACAACAACATGTAAGAAATTTCTTCCATGACAAGAGATGACGTCCATCACAGTAGCTGTCTTCTGTATCTAACCATAAAGGACCCATGTTTGAACAAGGATCGATGCTGATTGTAAGTGTTTAGTGCTGTTTTACATGTCTGGTTTGGGTATCTTTCACAGTACTCTTATCCATTTTCATCAGCTAATCCATATGTGAAGTGCATGTCAATCAGCTCTGCATTCGTAAATGAATGCATGTCCTCTGTATGATGTTATAAGCTTTAATGAAGATGATTTTAATATGCACGCTTGAAATTTTGGTATACAGTATCATTATATGGTTCGTACTCATGTTTTCTACCTCTCAAAGTTCATGTGTGGAATTTGAAACATCTCATAAGTTTAATTTATTCAAATTTATGTTGTTTTATTTAAAGCCTTTGTAGGTTAAAGTTTTTTAGTCCTAAAAATTTGTATCTTTATACTGATGAAGTAGTTAAATAATTTACAACGTAATGGGTTTAATGAATTTCATCCGTTAATCATATTTGGCGGTTTATCATTTTCCTTAGCTTGACAAAATCAATTTCTGCTCAACTAATACTGAAGTGCTAAATACTGTATTCTAGTGTAAAATAAATTACTGTGCCAAGCATTGGAAATTTTTCAAAATTAAGCCAAATTTTGAAAATGCATATGACTGCTTAATATATGAGGCACATCCAGAAAGTAAGTTTCCTGATGTTTTCCCCTTTAAAGTAAGCATAATTAGCCATGTCAATTGCGTATGCGTAACGGATCTATAACGTTTCACTCATATGCCAGCCAGACAGGTCCTGCCTCGTTGTGCAGTGATCCAAAATGGAAGCTCTTATTCATTCTCCTGCCGCCTGCGATGTTCGGTCAGTGATAAAGTTCTTAAATGCACAGAGCATTGCGCCAATTGAAATTCATCGTCAGGTCTATGGGCCAAACATCATGAGTAGGCAGTTGGTGCATCGCTGGTGTAGGCAGTTTTCGGAAAGCCATCAAAATGTCCATGATGAAGAGCGCAGTGGGCGACCGTCCCTCATCAATGATGATTTTGTTAAGCTTGTGTGGCAGCGTGTGATGGAGAACTGTCGCTTCACATTTATGGAGCTAAGCAGCCATTTTCCGCAGATACTGCGATCCTTGTTGCATGAGATTGTCTCTAAGCACCTGCTGTTCAAAAAATTATGTGCCAAGTGGGTACAGTAAACCCTGATGCCCAAACACAAAATTGAACTCTTAGGAGCAGCACTGTCATTTCTGCAACAGTATCATGATGACAGCAATAAGACTTGGATTTCACACTTCATCCCGGAAACCAAGCAGCAGTCAATGCATTGGCGGCATAGTGGATCTCCAGTCAGGACGAAATTCAAGCAGATGCTGTCAGTTCGGTGCATGATGTTCTGGGACAGGAAGGGCATTCTGCTCATTGAGTTCCTTCCACATGGTAAGACAGTAAATGCTGACCGTTACTGTAAAACACTGCGGAAATTGCGATTCAAAACGAGGCGTGGAATGCTTACTGCAGGTGTTGTGCTCCTCCGTGACAATGCTCATCCTCATACGGCTCTATGCACATCAGCTGTTTTGATGAAATTTCGCTGGGAGTTGTTTCATCATCCGCTTTACAGCCCTGATCTTGCTCCCAGTGATTTTTAACGTTATCTTGCACCTCAAGAAATTCCTGCCATCCGGTGAGCGTTTAAGCAACAACGAAGAGCTGAAGACATCTGTAACACGCTGGTTCCATTCATAGGCGGCAGAGTTCTATAACAGGGAGAGTTATCCCACAATACGACAAGTGTCTCAATTCTGGTGGTGGCTATATTGAAAAATAGCTGAAACATTGCTGTACTTGTTGCCAATAAATATGTTCCTTAAAGTGTGAGTTTTTTTTTGTGTGTGTGTGTGTGTGTGTGTGGTGTAAGGGAAACTTCCTTTTTGGATGCCCAACGTATATTTTTAATGATAGACAGAGATGGCACTTCTAAGAAATTCAAACAGTTCTTCAATGAAATGTTCCTCCTTTTTATATAAAATCTGTAGCTTACTAGTTAGGTTAATAAAATGAACATTGCTCTTTGTTATTGATAGTAGCATTCTCTCTCTCTCTCTCTCTCTCTCTCTTTTTTTTTTTTTTAAGTTAAATATTATGTTTACCAGAAGTAATGGTATACATTTCATTGAAACAGAATTGACACTTAATGAATGTATCTAAAAGAAAAATATAATTTATATGCTTAATTTTTCTATATTATTTGATAAGAATATTTTTAATTTTAACAATGTATGTCAATTTAAATTCTTTTTTTTTTTTTTCTTTTAGACAGGTTTTTTTTTTTTTTTTACATGTTGAATGTATTGATAATGCATAAATCTAAAATTATGAAAGGCATATATTCCTTTATTGGTAAAGGAGTTTCTGAAAAATAAAGATGGCCTACTCTTTTTTGGATGTAGCTTACGAATTTGTGAAACATGCATTCAGAGTTTTTTTACTTGTGTTTTGTAAATTAATTTTTTTTTTAATTTAAGTAATTTTTTATGTTTTTAGTGTTTTGTGATCTTATAATTAGTTTAACATTATTATTACCTTTCAGGTAAGAGATGTTAAAATTATTATGGATAATAAAACTAGAAGATCCAAAGGTATTGCCTATGTTGAATTTGCCAGTGTGGACTCCATTCCTTTAGTGAGTATATCATATTTTGTTACGTCTGAAATTTTTTTTAATTGAAGTTTTTGTATTTAATAGTACTTTGAATGGTAAAATCAGTTATAAAAATTGATTTATTTGTTACCTCTGAAAATTTTTTAAATTGAAGTTTTTGTATTTAATATTACTTTGAATGGTAAAATCAGTTATAAAAATTGTTTTAAAAATGTATTTCATTGCAGTCAATAATTTATAACATGATCTCTCATTTTTATTTACGAATTATTTTATAGGCTTTGGCTCTTAATGACACAGAACTGATGGGTTATAAGATTCATGTTCAGCTTTCTCAAGCTGAAAAGAATAGGGCTGCAGCAAGTTCGAGTTCATTGCAGAAGGGAAATCCAGGACCTATGAGATTATATGTTGGCTCATTGCATTTCAATATAACTGAAGATATGTTGCGTGGAATTTTTGAACCTTTTGGGAAGGTAAGAATTTTTCATTCATATTTTTTATGACATTTCCTTGTAACTTTCTTAACCTTTAAATTGTATGTAAAAGAAGATTACCGTAACAGAAAAACATGTTGGGAATTTTATCCTGATATACCGGGTGGTTGTTATGCGGTGTTATATATTTTTTTATTATTATATGGATTTCATCAAGTACAAATATGTTTTGGTAACATACATTGGTATATTTCTCTTGAGATTCAATATAATAATAGGTAGTTTTTAAATAATTTTGTAACTTATACTTAGATCTATATTACATTTAAATAAATATGTGTAAGATTGTTACCTTAATTTGGACAAAACAGCTTACTCACAGTATCAAAAATAGTTAATTTAATTTTTCAAAAGGGGAGTAAGGAAGCAGGTCTTTTTATTCCAATTACTTTGATGTTTTATACTATAATATTTTATCTGGAATGCTAAGCAAGCATAAAACCGAATTGAGAATTAGTTATGAATGATACAATAGCTTTAATAAGTACTTAACAAAATTAGTTCTCATTTGAAATATGCTTTATACTATTAACTTCTGAAATGTCATCCAGAAATATTTCAAATAAAAAATATTATGTATAAATGCAAATGATATAAATGCTTACTTGCACATTTACACTGCAACTACAAGCTGTTCAGATATTAATTACTAACTGCAACATTCGAAACAATCCACATTTTTGCCTTCTGAGTTGTTTTCCTTTGGAAAAGAACATAATGCATTTCTATTAAAGAAACGTGTCATAATAAAAGTTTGCACTCTGCAAAATAAATGAATTGCTTTTTCATAAACTTCAGGATAATGTTTCTCCAGTTTAGTAATTAAAGAGGCAATTAAATGCTTCCCTTTACAGTAAGTTGTACCATGAAATACACAAAATAGTTTTTCGAGCTCGTAAACTGTATTCATCCATGAATGAGAAGGCGCGGTCAAGCCTTCTATGGAGAATAATATCCATTCTGAATGAAATATTATTTCATCAACACTATTTTTAAATATTGTTCCCAATGATGGGTCTTAGTCCCGCATGCAGTAGGCAATATAACCTGCTAATTATGCTTCCTTTTCTGCGGTCAAAAATTGTTTGGCAGAATTCAATTCTAATTCCCAAGCCATAGGAGTAGGCTCCTGTATGAAATCCAAATCATCAATAGTATTTAATGGAAAAGCAAATCTTCCTCCTCAGTTTTCAAAGCCCTTTCAAGTAATTCTAATGTTAAATATGAATCAATATTTCTGCTTTGTTATGCACACTTTTGAAGATAACTTTGGTAGCTTCTCAGCGAGTAATAACCTATCACTAGGTGTTGGATGGCCATACCAAGCCCTAGAATCTGACTAAAGAGATTTTTAAGTACATCCTATTAATCTAGAGGTTAAAATATATTAAGCATTTTATGATGATTTCAAATCCTTTTTGAAAAGGCAGTATATTAGATTTTCCTTGAACTCTTAATCCACTGTTGACTTGATGAGGTTCATTTCATCCAAATGCTGCTTTAAGTATTTTATTTGAAGGATGGTATGGCTTGGTACTATTCATAACATCGAAAAATTATCGTTGAACTCAAATAAGTCAGATGCTTTTTGATTTCCTGTGAGGTGGAGTATACCTTTGCGATAAATTTTGAAAACAATGTTTTCGCTGGAGCAACTTTCTGTCTCTGTTTCCTTGACCATTAAATAATTCAGTTTTAGTTTATGATACAATTTCTCCTGAATCTCTGTTTAAATCTCTTTAATATTATCAACATTTAAATCAATTCTATCTTCTAAAACAAACCCTTTATCTAAAAAGGGTTTCTTGATAATTCGAGGTAGAGTCTAAAATGAGACCTCTGATTAAATCAAACTGCACATTTTGAAAAGGACTGAGAATTTTGTCCAGCTTAGAGTCACAGGAGAGTTTTTAATCTATATGCATTTTGTCGAAACTGAGAACGCATATTTTTTCTGCAGAATTCAAGTATTCAAATCTTTTTTTCATTAGAGCAGGAACATCACTCTGAATTCCGGGACTACACGGAAATTCAGCAAACCGTATCTATAATGTGCTAGTACTGGGTTAAGAAATTCCCATTTTTTCTTTCCAAAAATCTTAGCTATTAGAAGATAAAGCTCTTATGACAATACAACTTGAAATATCTTCACTAGTCCACGTGATTTTTTCCTTCTTTTCCAGCAATGCAATAATCTGTGTTTGTGAAAATGTGCTTTAAACGTTTTTCCAAATTCTCTGATCTGTGCTTTTCCGACTCATATTTCTTTCTAGATGTTGTCCACCTTTGTTTGTCACTGAACAAATGTTCTAAAAATTTTTTTATGTATTTTTCAAATATTTTAATACAATTTTCTAAGGATACTCTTTTGTTCTTCAAATTATCAATGCAATCTAGTTTATCTTTAAACTTAGGGCATTCAGGAATATTTACATTTTCATTTGTGAATTTTATTTCAAAATCATTCACATTTGAATTATTGTCATAATCAATTTCATTTTCGGCCTCAAAATGAGTTTTCCTTGGGCTTAATTCACGTAGCCTTTCAAAAGCACTCCGCATTTAGTTTTCCTTTCTCTTTTCTCCAAATTCTTGGTGTTATTTCGTTTATAGCACGCAGTAAATTTATTTTTGGCACGGCATTGCATTTCAACAATTTCTTTTCTGGCTATCCAAACAAGCCATTTTTCATGTCTTCATAAATACTGCATAGAAAATAGAAAATGTTCACTGCAAATTCTTCGCATTAATAGGCTCTTCGTGTTAATAGAATCTTGTCTTTGACATGTATATATTCATGTTTTCATCAAAGGCAAATTGTCGTTTGGGAAAGCATGAAATACAATATTCGTATATCCTTTCGTAATTCAGTAAGTGTCACGGCAGTTGCTATAGTGCAGAAAGCCATATTACATAAATGGTACTTTACAATATAGAATTTAAAAGGAAAAATGACTAAAATTATATATTAATTTTAAATATTTACATTATTAGAAAACAAATATTTATGATTAAAATTAATTTGGGATACGCAATCTCCAGAAAATTGCCTCTCAGCTCAATGAAATTACATTTTTAAATGTGCAAAATCAGAGCAGGTGCAACAGTGGCGTCAGATTACTGCTGGTTAACTTCCCCTATTAGGCTCATGTCTGCAAGGAGTCGAACAAAGGAATGAACTAGCTCTTTCTATTTATCCCTGTTTTGAAATAGCAAATGTCAATATCAGACTTTTTTTATTATTTTTTTTTTGGGCAATACCCACACTATTAGTGACAGACTGCCCCCCTTCCCAAAATGTTTAATAAATATGTGATGATTTTTGATCAAGATGTATGATTGGTCTTTTTACAGCAATTTTGTAAAGCTACAGCTTCTTTCCCTATCAAGAAGACATTAATTGTAACACTTTTATTTAAATAGGATGTTTTCCCTTAATTTATAAAATCTGTATTTTTAAATTTCTGGCTGTTTCTTTTCAGATTGAAAGAATTGAATTGATCAAAGACACAGAAACTGGTAGATCCAAAGGTTATGGCTTTATAAGTGTGAGTGATTTGGTTTATTTCTGATTTCTTAACATTTTTATATTGAGTAACTTGAAGATTTTTTGGGGGGATCTGCATTTTTGTGTATTTTTTTATTTATCTCAAGTAAAAGAATGTCATTTACTTTTTAAAATGTTAGTTTAAATTTTTTTCAAATTACTGCTGTAAAACTTATATTGTAATTTATAAAGAAATTAATACGTTTATGTATTGTAACGTATATATGCATATTTTGAAATTTCAGTTCTATGACTCGGAAGATGCTAAGAAAGCATTAGAACAATTGAATGGCTTTGAATTAGCTGGGAGACCAATGAAAGTTGGCCATGTAACTGAAAGAACAGACATTGCTCAAGGGCCATCTTTTCTAGATAGTGATGAACTTGACAGAACTGGAATTGATTTAGGTGCCACTGGCCGACTTCAGCTCATGGCAAAACTAGCAGAAGGTATGTATGAAAATGTGTGGCTTCCCTCTTGCGAATGTATCACTTTTAGTCTTCCAATTGTAAATCTTGGGGTGATGAATTTTCAAGTTTCTTTGAAAGCAGTCTCTCTACTAGGATATTGTTGCTTGCAATATGAGTTTATAATAGATTGATTGAATGCACACAGGTCCATTGATAGGTTGATATTTTGTTTTTTATCAAAACAACACCTCAGAGTTCTGGAACTTTCCACAGAAATACTAATACAGTTGTTCACAATAACGCATAATATAATCAGTGGCGATGCTTCAAACTACTAAGAACATTAAACACAATACAATGCAAAGTGAAGCTAAAGAGTGAAACTAAACCGGAGATAGTACTGAGCTAACAACTACGACTATTACTGAAAGCAGATGCTCTGTCTTTAATAGTTTTCACCCAGCTACAAGACATTTCTAGTACTTTCTGCTACTCAGAATAACTAAAAGGCAATAAGAGGGTTGAAATAGTGATCAATTACATTTATTCAGTTACAATGCCAATTACGGTGTAACAATGGCGAAACCGAAATGTCACTGTTGCCAGCTTGGCGATATGCTGCCAAATTACCACAATACCCATTTATTCAATGTTAAATAGACCTTGTATTCTTACTTTTCTGCCATAGCTCAGCTCTCTAGATTTTTCATGTTACATTACACAGATCGCAACAATTTTGCATATAATTGCACTAAAACCATCTACCTATGTACAAAATTCTTAACGATATCTTAAAAATCTAAAAATTGTCAGCAGTACTGAAGTTTTACTTTACTAATCTTGATAACTGAATGTCAAAAAGCATAAGCGGAAATGCTGGGACAAAAACTAGGTAATTTCTGTCTGTCTACATCCCTGCCGAAATTAGCAACTAATTTTTTCCAGGCTAATGCATTTAACCCCTTAATCTACAATGACGGGCATAGCCCACGTACGATGGTTGTGCCAAACCTAACTTCCACGCGCATAGCCCACGTACGGTGATCGGACCAGAAGTGAATATTACGTGGAATATATTTTATACGCAATTACAGTCTGATGCAATAATTGTGGTAGACGCAAGTATTACAAAACATTTATTTATACAAAAACTCCAAAATACAAAATTAGTAATCTGTAACGGTATGTATATTTCAAAGCATTCTGGTACGTGTAACGGAACTTTACACTTTTTACATTCGTGTTCTATGTGGATTTTCTCGTACTTGATCTGCATACTGATTCATTTCGGTTACAATATTGTTCCAAAATATGTCATCAAATATTAGATTAAATATATCAAATTCTCCTCTACTTCCTCCTAATTGACATACAGCTTCCTCAGTTATGCCAGGAGTCATCGTATAGTCCCAGATTTTTGGACTATTTCTTATTTCTTTCCAAAGCCAGAACTCTGATCGTCATCAGATGTATCATAAGTAATTATTTGCCTATACTTTCTTCGAAAATTACATAATTCGTCATGTTTACGATTGCTCGTAGTAGCGTGTTACACAAGTCATGCAAATGTCCCGAACGCTGCGTGAGCTTGTATTCAATTTCGGCCCAACATCTTTGAATCTAAATCGTAGGTTAAGGGTTAAAGGCAACAAGCCACTTTAAAAATGGCTATGCACTAAGAAGTTGATACAAGAGCAAACTTAATTCTTTATTCTGCTCAAATGTAAACAAGTATGGCTGCTATGGTAAGAAAAAATAGGGTTAGTTGCACTTAAACAACTTTCAAATTCCTGATAATTCTAAAACTATTTCTTGCATATTAACTAAATGCATAAAAACCTTAACCAGAAGATTGCAACAACATAATTCAGTAATTTGTAAAGCAAAATTGTGCAATTTACCAAAATATAAGAATTTTTAAAAAACATGGCCTCACTAAGTAACACAGTGGGTATATATATAAATATTTATATACTTTTGATGCAACCAAAAAGGGAGGGGCACGATTCCATGTTATAGCAGTTCTATTTACAAAGGTTCAACGTTCAGGGACTACTCATTTTTGAATTATGCGAGATGCATACGTACATACAGACACCACGAAAGAATCTTTTCTGAATCCATTTTAAATCAGTTTTATATTTCATTTAGAAAACAAGTCCTTTATTCTCTTGTTGCGAGCAAATGTCACGCAAAAATATTAGTAAATTGTATTCAATAGCAGTCAGAATAAATCCTTTCTTTGAAATATGATACCAGAAGTTTTTGTGAATACAGTACTTCTTTTACTTTGTACAAGGGAGTAAAAATTACAGACTGTAAACTAGGAGACATAAGATATCACATCCAATCATCCTGAGCTTTATTCCTAGAAATATCTTGAATACGGCACTTGGTTCCCAGCTTTCTCAGATGCCATTGCACTTCTGTATGCCAATGAGGTGGAGCTCCATCCTGTTGGGATATCAGTTTAAGAAACAACCAGTCTTACAGCGTGTGTAATTACATTGTACACTGTGCAAGAAAAGTGGGGACAGTTATATCTCCCGTTCTACTGGGCTGATTGATGAAATTCAAATTGTGTTTTTCATGACTCAAAAGCGCGACTTAAAATAAATATCAGGTTTATATATAGCATTGTTTTAATATAGGTATTTTGACCCGAAATGACTTTTTCTGAAATAACATACCAATTTTTTTCCATGTTTCCATTCTACGACTCAAATTATGCCTAACTACCAAGTTTTATAAAAATCGCAAGAGTAGTTTTTAAAAATTTAACTCTTAGGTGAAATAAATTAAGAGAATTTGCATATTTTATCGAATTGCATGAAAAGAACTGAACGGAACGAAAACCACTGCTTCTAGATAAAAATGCAAATCTTATACGGCAAATACATATGCGGACACGTGTGTGTGTGCAGAGCCAGCAGAAGAACAGACTTTTTAAGCGCGTGGAGGATTAGACGAATTGCGTTCGCTACAACACCTTGGCGAATTTCTAGATATTGTCTGGCAGCAATCAGTTAAATTCACATCGGAACAGTAAAAATAAGTAACCATCAACATGTAAATGCTGGAATTAGGTGGCGAATTGTGAGTAGGCTAGAGGCAGACCAATCGCAAGTCGAGATATGCAGAGAGCTTAATTTAATGCCCAGTGTCATGTGTAAACTATGGAAACAGTTCCAGGATACTGGATCTATCAAGAGAAAGCCTGGGCAAGGTTGTCCAAGAGCCATGATGGCCAGAGAAGATGGCTATTTGTCCATTTTAGCGAGGCATAACAGAGGGACTACAGCTTCTCAGCTCTCTCAGGACCTGTATGCAACCACAAGAACCCGTGTAACAAGGGTTACTGTTTCCAAAAGACTCATTGAGAGAGGGTTGTTTGCCAGAAGACCGTCTGTTTGCATCCCACTCGCGTCTACAAACAGAGAGTCCGATTAGCATGGTGCAGGCAGCATAGTGATTGGAGTACGGAGCAATGGCCGACCATTCAGTTCACCGACGAAACCCGGTTTAGCCTAAACATCGATTCTCGCCATACTTTCATATGGAAAGAACCAGGGGCCCACTACCTACCCTCCAATGTCCCGTGAAATCAACAGTTATTGCTGTGTAATAGTCAGGCAGGCATCATGTTGGATGGCTGACAACCTCTCCGTCTTTGACAGAGGCTCTGTGACTGGTATGATGTCTTGGAGCCCTGTTTGCCTTTTCCGGGATGCAGTGGGCCTCGAGTTCATCTACCGGGACGATAATGTGAGGCCACATAGAGAGCTCTTCTGGTGAACAAAATTTCTTGAGAGTCGGGATATTCGCCAGATGGATTGGCCAGCCAGGGCTCCAGAACTCGTCCTTATAGGTTATGTCTGGGACACTCTGGGAAGGGCAATTGCAACTCGCAGCCCCCCTCAGAGAACCATCCAGGAACTGAAAACAGCACTGCTTAATGAGTGGGACTAATTGCCACAGGCACTGGTAAACTGCCTTATTTCCAATATGACATCATGCTACGAGGCCTGTATGGCTTGTAAGAGAAGACCATATCCCCTATTAACCCATTTCTTTTGTCTTCGAATCCGCTGTTTCAGATCTTCAGACTCCCCATGAATGTTACACATAAACATGTGTGTCTATTATAACTGTTGAGTGTTTATTTTGTATTATATCAACCTATGTTCGCACCAAATTTTATTAAAATATGTCCCGTAGTTCTGGAGATCGTAGATGAATATGAAAATTCTCTTAATTTATTTCACAAGTGTATTTATTGATCTCTCTTTTTTTATTAAGCTTATTTGATTCTTCCTTTCACATTTCGAAATGCAGGTTCATTCCAAATAAAATTTGCCCAGTTTTTATAATTTATTAATAATTTTTACATTTTTTTCAAAAACTGTGTAGAATTTTACTCTGCAGGAAACTTTTAAAAAAATATAGATGACATATAAAAACATTAACCATCTTTCCGTTGAAGAAAAAAATCATGCAAAACTTTTAAATATCTTACAAACGGTGAAATAAGCAAAAAATAACATGAAAGAGACTCAAAAAAACAAAAAATTCTGCAGAACAACTTTATCCAAAAGAAATAATAAAATAAAATAATTCAAAAAATGTATTTATATATATAAAAAAAGACAATGAAATATGCCAATCTCTTAAAAGCTGTGACATAAGAAATACGATGAAAAATTGCTGCCAAACCCATATTTCTAAAACAATGAAACTATTAAAATTATGCGATTTCATCAAAAATCTATCAACAACAATAAGACATGAAAATTGTTGTCAAAATCCCATTTTTAAAGATGTGAGACGTGTACTCGGAAGCTTCATTTAAAATTTTTTAAAAAAATACAAAATACTATTATTTTTCCAAAATTCTTTTTGTAAAAGCAGTCGCAAGAATGATGAAAGTTTAACATGTCCAAAAATCAAAGAAAAATAAACTGAACATTTTTAAAAATAAACTATTTTAGAAAAAAATCCCATTGAAAAGGTGTTAAGTTCCCTTTGTTAAATAAATTCATATTTAATTGATTTATTGAAAGACTAAGTTTATTTTAAGTTCGTACAATAGCTAAGTACT